GAGTAGGGATAGCTAAATGAGAGTATTCTGAGGAGTTTGAAACAGACGAACAGTTTAAACTTGGTCACCTACTCACTTTGCTCTAGTTAGTCAGCCCCGACCCCTCTCCACAGAGACAAGAGATGGAGGGGAGGGAGAAAGGAGGGGGGGAAGGAGAGATGTGTGTGCAGGTACAAATGTCCAGAGGCTAGAGATAGCCATCAAATTTCTTGCTCTATCAATTTCTACCTTATAATTTGAAGCAGGGTCTCTCACTGAACCAGGGGCTAGGCTGTCAACCAGCAAGCCTCATTAATCATTCTGTTGATACCTGACACAGTGCTACGGTTACAGGGGGATGGAGCCATGCCTAACTTTTTACACAGGTGCTAGGAATTTAAACTCAGATTCTTACACTTGAGCGGAAAGCGCACTTATCCACTGACTGTCTCCCAAGCCCTCTTCTGTGATTTTTAAAAGTGGGAGTTTGCAAGTGATAGAAAAACTTAGTATATAATAAAAGATGTTGTTTTAAACCAATAGAGAAAGGATGGGTAATTCAATAGTTCTTGAATGACTACATAGCTGGTGGAGGAGAGGTGGGAATTAGATTTTTATTTTACTTTTTATTTCCCAATAAATGTCAAATGCAAGAAAAATCAGAACATTAAAAAAGAAAAAGGGATCTTTGAAAACATCCAAAATCGTAAACGAAGAAAAAAATTTAAGAGAAAGGCAAGTGCCTCATGGGCCCAGAAGCCAAAATGTAACTGTAAGATGATTTTCAAAGTCCTTCAGGGAATAAGAATATAAAAGTGAGAGGCTGATAAAACACTAGGGAAATACCTGAGACACTCATGAAAAGGTAATATCCTACCTTTGGCAATCCACAGGTAAAAGTTTCCAGCTAGGATGCCGACAGTTTGTACTCTCAGAAAAATCATCATTCCAGAAAGGATGCCTCATCTCACTCAGAACAGCCAGAGTTCACAGGAAGATATACCCATAGGTCACTTGTCTTACATGCCAAATGAAACTGATAATACAGTATGTGAGCAAGGGTGGGTACCAAGACACTGGCAGCCATACTGGACAACACTATCTAGAATTTCTTTTCTGAAAGACTCACTTTGGGCTCTGTTCACCAAAACTTAAATGGCATGTGTCTCTGGGTTGTCAGTTCTACTTTTAAAAATGTATCTTATTTAGATAACTATACAAAAGGTCAAAACAAGTCTCTAATTCTGGATTACACAAACAACAGTGTCTGAATGAGAAGCATGGGAATGATCACACAGACACACACATGACTATTAAACAGCTATAAATCCAACCAGGTAACCCTGAATACAGGTGGTACTATCCCTTGAAATGTTTTTTTTTTCCCACTAAATAGAACAGAGAAGCACTAAGACCCAGCACTTGTGTTTTATGACCAAGAATGCAATGCAACTAGCTATTTCATGTTCCTGATGCCATGCCTTCTTGGCCTTAATAGGCTATACCTTCAAATCACAAGGAAAAATAAACCCCCTCCCTTGAAAAATGATCAAGAATCTAAGTTACATTACGGTGGGAGTATTGGTAAAATATATAGCAAGTTCGCTTGTTAAAACCCTCCGTGGAGAAGTGTGTACAGCATCTATGTTATTGTTACCGGTGTGACCAAACACCTGACAAAGAACAACTCAAAGAGGAGAGGTTTAATTTCGGCTGCTGATTTGAGGAAACAAAGCCCATCGGGGTAGGAAATGGCTGGTAGTAAGCAGCTTCTTTGTGGCAGGAGCAGGTGGTTCCTATTTGCCACATCTTAGAGGAACAGGAAGCAGAGAACCAAGCAGAAGCTGATGTGGGCTATAAACTACCACTCCACAGTGACCCTCTTCTTCTAGTAACACTCTACCTCCTAGGTTCTAAAACTCCCAACACAGCTGTGGTCCAAGTGTGCAGGCAAAGGAGGTTGGGGGAAACATTCCACGTTCATAGTAACACATTACCATATGTGTCTATGAAACAAGGGGACTTGTTTGAACACTATCCTTACACTGGAAAGAACAGTACTTAATGAAGCTGAGCTACCTTTTTTACTACCTTTCAATTTGTTTTAATTTTGTATTACCCTGTGTGTGTGTTTCTGTGTGTGTGCGTGTGTGTGTGTTTCTGTGTGTGTGTGTGTGCGCACACACCCCAAAGCACGTATGTGGCAGTCAGAATAAACTGTAGAAATAAGTTTTCTCCTATGGGCTTCCAGGTATCACTCAGGTTGGATGCAGGGACTTTTAACTTCTGGGCCATTTCACCAGCCTCCAGTTCAATATTTTTACTGAAAGTATGAATGATATTTTTGGCTGTAGATAGAGACAGTTGGGATAGGAAAAGGAAAACAGCCAAAAGAACGCTATGGAATCTATTATTCTTTAGACTTGCTCTGGCCAAAGCTCTATTTTCTTTTTTCTTGATGCCAGACAAAATGGTCATTCGCTGTATGATCAATTGATTTGAACACATCTCTACATGCTTTCCCATAGAAGTACACTGGAGTAGTCAATGGGATCAGGGGACGTGGGTGGAAACTGCTAAGGAACATGGGGTTTTTCCTTTTGGCATGATGAAAATGTCCTGGAGGTGGTTAACAGTGACCGTTGAAGAAATCTAAAAAATACTGAAACCCTCTACTGCTGTTATTATAACCCAAGTTATCTAACACTCCTGGACCCCTTGGCCTAGGAGATGTGATAGATGTGAATGCATGTCCTACCTCATGACTTTGGGAAACTTCCATATCAAAGTTGATGTGGAAGAAATCCAGGAGAAATGACTCTGCAAAGTCACTCACATTGTTAAAAAGACATTACATAGGAAAACCTCAGTGTGTTGCCCAAGGTCACATGTGCTCATCATGCTCTGGGCTAGACAATGTATTCTTACTCCCAAGCTCATCCTGCCTAGCTGGAACCTAACTGCTACTGTCTTTCATGTGAGTCTCCATCCTGTGCAGAGGCACTTCTGGCAGCTGTCAGAGGGTCCCTCTCCAGTTACCTGCCCTCTTTGCTTCTCTTTGTGCTGGGAACCAGTGGCTGCTAGACAGCAGCTAAGAACACCAGGGTCCACAATGCATTGGACATTGGGACTCCTTTATGGCCCACTCAAGTTTTTTTTAAGATTCTAGGACAGGGGTACAGGTAGACAAAGATATCCAAAAATGGGAGAAGCTACGAGAGAATGAGTGTGTGAGTGTGTGTGTGTGTGTGTGTGTGTGTGTGTGTGTGTGTGTGTCTATACTCAAATGTGTCTGTGTAGTGCTAGAGAAGAAATCCAGGGCTGTGGGCATACCTACCAATGTCCCACCAGTGAGCCACACCCAAGATCACTGCTCTTTTGAGTCGCTCTGAAGCTTAATCACCATTCTTGACCCTGGACTCAGATGACTGACTCACACTGATAAATCTCTCTAATTTAGCTGGTGGATAGAGAGCTCTTGTACCTTTCCCTTTCTTATGGTGGCCCCTACCTTAGCAAGGCAACTCCACTCCACCAGGATTTGTCTTCCCAGATAGCAGCTGGCAAGTTCTGCAAGGTTCAGAGTCTTAAGCCTCAGTTTGCAGTAAACAGTGTAGGATCAGCATCACCTTATTCTTGTTGCCTCCTCAACACCAAGTCCCCTGATAGCTTGTACACTTCTTGAAGCTCTCCCTCCATAGAGCTGGTTGACACTGCCACTCAGTGCCACTTCCTTAGGCTGCCACTGTGGTAGCATGCTCAGTTTTTCTTTAAATGTGTTCATTTACCAGTCATTCTACTTCTCCTATGTACTGGCTGCCTGTACCCTGATGGCTGTACACAGTGAATCTGGCATATTAGGCCTTTGGGGCTGCCTAGCATTGGATAATCAGATTGACAGGTCACATTCTACAGTGACTGCTTCCCTACCAACTCAAACTGTAGAAGTCTTTCTCCATAGCGGTACTGCAGCCTCAGACTAATTTTGTGTTACTTTTCTTAGTCCAGGGAGTCCAACACCCAAGGTAAGCCCTCATATTCACCTGCCTGAGGCACAAACCTGTGGTTGGATTTCTCATGAGTCTACTTTTTTTCCTCAGCCAAGGGCCTTGTTTATTGGCTAGGGGTTTAGCTTTTAGTACCTTACTTTACAGAGGCCCTTTAATAGGTGGGGGCAGGCTAAGCTGCCAACCCTTCGCCATCTCACCCACACCCCTAGACCACCAGAGTACAGTCCAGCTCCATCTGTAATACAGGCAGACTTTGACCCCCTTTCTTGTTGTTCCACATCCATTTTGAAAAACTGGGTTCTATTCTGCCTATTCCAGTCAAGTGTTTGTGGTTAGAAGGACTAATTCAGTCAACTGTGTTAATTAAAATTCTTATTATATAGAATGCACGTGTGTGTTTTATTTTCCTGAATGATGTGAAATGCTGGGAGTGTGACGGCTTCTCTGTCCTGGAGGCAAAGCCTGAGACCTGTTCGGTTGCTCATTTGCAAAATAAAATGTTATGCAACGAAAAGCAAGCTAGGAGGTGGGGGGCAGGGATAAAGATCAATGATACAGCACTTGTTTAGCATCTATGAGGCATTAAGTACTATCCCCAGCAAAATACACACACACACACACACACAGTGTGCTTTCTATAGAGGTTTTAGTGTGCCTTTATGTGATGCACATGTATGTACACATAGATGTGGAGGCTCCAGGTTAATGTCAGAAATGTGCCTTGATTGCTCTTTTACCTTATTTATTGATGCAGTGTCTCTCAATTAAACCCTGAGCTAATCAGACAGCTCAGGGAATTCCCCCATCCCTGCCTTCAAAGGCTAAAATCATAGGCAGACCCTTAAGCGTACTCAGCATTTATATAAATTCTTCAGACCTAATTTCAGCCCTCAAGCTTGTGGGGCAATAGCTTTAACTATTAAACCATTTCCCCAAGGGAACAAGATAGAGGAATACAGAAATCAGGAAAGTAACAAGAGAGACATCTGCATGGTGTCTCTTGTATGGTACCTTTTGGCTCCTCCAGCATCTGGAGAAACAATAATACAGTTTCTCCATTCAGTGATGTTCTCCCGAATCCACTGAAGAACTGCAGGTTCTGCATATAAATTATCCACAGGAATATCAAAGAATCCCTAAGGAAGAAAATCAATGTTACTTAGTTTTCTGATTGAATGTAAGATTTATTAGAGTACATGATTGGCAGGGTCAGCTGTTCAACACAGTGGAAAACCTCAGGAATGCATCATGGCCTCAGGAATCGTCACATGCCTGAGGGACCATGCTTAGAGATATTTGTTCCACACTTGTTGAGAAAATGCTGCTTCTCCAATAACATCCCTTCATATTCATCTGTGTTAAACTTGGTGGTATCTCATTTTTTTGAGATGTGGATCTTCTGGCAGCTAGGGAACTTGCTTGACCCTGTGTAGGATCTCAACCACATGTTCCTTACTTTGTAGGTGGTATAATACACATCATGGCCTGGTCAATGTGAACCTTGGCCACTGTGCCTTGGGGCTTCCCAATGCCGATCCATATACCTGTCTGAAGCCTAGACTGGAGACAAGATGAGATAAGAGGCTGGACTAGTCACCAGAAAGTTCTATCTCTAAGATCACTTACAGAAACCTATATATGCAACCTGCCAAGTAGGATGCTCTTTTCAGCCACTGCACAACAGGCTCCATAAGGAAAGTAAGTTAGCCTAATTAGATGCAAATTTTTAAAAAGATAATTGCTATCTTGCAATAATATTTGAATTATTAATCCCAAAGATACCTTTATACAACAGTCTCCCTGTAGGTAATTGTAACCGAATTAAATCTAACAATAAAGATGTCACAAGACATCTTTCAACCCAGTCCATTTTCTGGGCGTGCTCTGATATTTATGTGATGCTCTGTGCACAGAGAGAAAGAACAGCACTGCAGGGCAATCGGGAAGACAGGAGGATTTTTGTTGTTTTAGCACTTAGCACAAAGCAAATACTTCACATTCATTATATATCAGAAGTCAGCACCAGGAAATGTGGCCTGTCTTCGCGCCAAAAGAGGAAGTTATGAAGAAATTACAAATATGCAGGACTAGGGAGATGGCTCAGTGTGCGAATGTATAGAATACTTGCAGTACAGGCATGATATCATGCACATTCTATAACCCCAGCATTGGGGAAGCAGAGGCACGTAGATCCTTGGAGCTCACTGCTCAGCCACCTTTCCTGAATTGATGAGCTTCAGGTTCAGCGAGAGACCTTATCATCAAAACTTAAGATGGGGAGTGACTGAGGAAAACATCCAATGTATACAAACACATAAAATACACTCTACTATGCTGATTTCCAGAAGTTTAGACGGAACCACAAAACATGTAAGAAAAGGTTTCTGCTCCTCTGAAATGAATTGGAAGCAGTGTGTGTGTGTGTGTGTGTGTGTGTGTGTGTGTGTGTGTTAGGAATGGTGGCATTCACAGGAAAGACAGACAGCCACGAGAGTAGTTGTACAGACTCAAAAATCTTTCAAAATTATTTAAGGGAGAGTTAGGACCTAATGGTGGGCAGAAACACAATGCTCGTACCTGGATCTGAGAGGCATGCAGGTCCATGGTAATGATGTGATCAGCCCCAGCGACTGACAGCATATTGGCCACAAGTTTAGCAGAAATTGGAGCACGACTCTAAAAAATAGAAACAAGAATTTAATATCAGAAAAAAGATGGAACCTGTTAAATTCCTCTCACATAAGATAGTCATGAGGAAACCAAATCATAGATGGGAGCAATGAGTAAAATTACAAGTTATAACAACAAAAGATATACTCGATACATTGGATTTGGTTACTAAATATATACACTATTGGTTGACATTGTTCGTTGGTTTCTGAACCTGGGTCTCATATAGCCCAGGGTGACCTTGAACCCTGATCCTCCTGCCTCCTCCTGCAGTGAAGATTACAGACATGTGCCAACACACTCAATTTCTGTAGTACTAAGGCTGGAATCCAGGAATTGCTGTATTCCAGACAAGCATTCTATTGACTAAACTGCATCTCGAGCCTTCGATCCTCCTGTGAAGCCATGCACCTGACACTACATACAGAATACAAATATCAAAGGGATAAAGTCAAACGATGGAAACGTGAGTTCTCTAGAAGGGAACAGTGACATATATAAACTTTCTCAAGACAAAAAAAAAAAAAAAACACCAGCAAACAGCTCATCCAAGGCCCCACAGAAGTCTAGTTATGGAGGAAGACCACCATGCCTTGTCAGAGGAAAGCTAATATGGCTACAAATTCAACAAAAAGCCAAATGAAAGAATTAACAATTAAAAGTAATTGAGAAGTCAACATTCAGAGAAACTAGTTCATTGTTCCCTTCTGTCATATGCCTTTTCTAAAGTTACCTAACTTCTTTATGAATTCAGTTTCCATGTCATAAACCACAGGCAATGAAAAAGTCCACATCAAAGCAACCAGAGAAATTGCACAGATATCATTAGACATAGTCCAGACATGTGTAGGAGGAGATTAGTTATTAACAACATTGTGTTCTTATATGCAAGCCACAAAAAAGAAAATACAATCTTAAAATTATATAAAAATGTTAATATTGAATATTGTCTTTATTTCCTTTCAAACACTATTATGTTGTTTAAAAGGCAAATACATATCACTTTATAATAAAAATTAAATATTTTTTACATTATTTATGAATACAATTAATACGTATCAATCCTATATTTAATGTTATTAACATAAATAATATTTATTTGAATATTAATTTTACAATAACTACACATACACATAATGAATCAGGAGACATTCCTAAAATTACCAGCAGATTTTCTAAAAAGTGAAACTATAGCGAAGTATTCTTTATTTGTTTTTTTTTTTGTTGTTGTTGTTGTTGTTTTGAGACAAGGTCTAAGTAGCCCTAGCTGTACTGGAGCTCACTATGTAGACCAGGCTGGCCTTTAACAGAAATATACCTGCCTCTGAAGAGCTTATGTTCACGGTTAAAGGCATGAAAAACCATGCCTAATGAGAAGTGTTTTTCCTTTACGTATTGTGTGAGGTTTCTTTTTTTTTTTTTTGCCTATATGTATATATGCCTGCATATGCTGCACATGCAGTACCCTTAGAGGCCAGAAGAGGGTGTTGTAACCCTTAGAATTAGTTATGGATGCTTGTGAACCACCACATGTGGGTTTCAAACTGAACCCAGGTCCTCTGCAACAGTAGCCTGTACTCCTAATCATTGAGCCATTTTTTTCCAGCCCTCTGTCTTATTTTTAAAGGGGGGAGGGTCGTTTTGATCTTCTCTATACTAATTAGACATCACAACTTATGGTTTCATCTTTATTTAACTCCCCTGAATGGTATTTCATGTTGCCTTTGGGAAAGAATCAAAGTTCCTTTTCAGCTTTAATATCCAAATCCTCTGATCCATCTGGATATAGCTAATGGCCAATTGCTCTCCCTTGCCTCTGATTCAGCACCCTTCCCGGTGTAGTAGATTGTTCTCTTTCTCTAGAGAACACCATGGCCTTGTCTCACATCCTCAGCTGCCCCAATCTCACACATGCTCTGCTACACCCATGTGTTTGATCCTTCAAAGTCTGGCTCAGGTATCACTATAATAAATACCTCTAAGAATTCTAGCCATTATGTGTAGAGTGAAAGACCATTGGAACACTCAGCTCAGGGAACCCTCTGGAAGAGCCACAGGAGCTAGAGGACATCAAGAAAACAAGGTCCTCTAAATCACCTGAGCAAAGATCTTGTGAACTCACAGAAACAAAAGCAGCAAGCACAGGGCCAACAGGGGTCTGCACCACATCCTCGCATATATTTTATGGCTTCCAAATGAGCTTATAAAAGAAACCATTTAATTTGGGGGATTGCTAACACTTTCAGAGGGTAAGTCCATAAACGTCTTGGCCGGCAGGTGTGGTGCTGAAGCAGTACTAAGAGCTTATAGCTCTTCCCTAAACCAAGAGATAGACAGAGAGAGAGACAGGGCGTGGCATGACATGGTCTTTTAAAACCTCAAAGCCAACACCTCCAGTGATAAACCTTTACACTTCTTCCAACAAGACCACATTTCCTAACCTTTCTTAAATAGTCCCACTAACTTCAGAACAAGCATTCAAACATGCACTCCTAGAGGGCCACTCGCCTTCAAACCACCACAAGTCTATAGAGAGCTCAATCAGCGTGGCATTTAAAGCAGGTAAAGGACTTGCCTTGCAAGCATGAACAGCTGAGTGCAAGCCCAGAGTCCATATCAAAATGCTGTGGTGTGGTGACAAATGCTTATCATACCAAGCTAGTCTACCTGGCATGTTTCAGGCCAGTGAGAAATCTCATCAAAACAAAACCAAAACAAACCCACAAAAGGTACGCAGCACCAGGCACCAGAAAAATGATTTCTGAGTTCGTGCACTTACTCATGCAGATGGAAGTGTGTAGGACTTACACACACAGACACACATTCTCCCAAACACACAAACACATACAAAGATGACAAGATTAAAGAGACTTGTGTCAATCACTAAAATATCAACATGACCTGATACATGATTCTGAAAAAAGAAAAAAAAAATTCAAGGTGACAGCCCTTCTTCATTCTCTCAGAAGTAATTATTCCCTGCCTGGCTCACAATCCGCTGTTCTCTCCAGGGAAGAGAACTAGCAATTAGTGAATGTCTACTATAGAAGCCAGCAAACGTCAGCTGGTGGGCTAGACTTGCCTGATGCCTGGTTTGGAGCTAGGAATGGTCTCTACCCTTAGAAAAGTATAGGAAACCAGACAAAAATAAGATTTTTGTAGCATATGAAGGTGACATAAAACCCATATTTAAATGTGCATAAATGAAGCACCATTGGAACACAGCCACACTCACTACTTTGCATATTGGCTATGGCAATCTCTACACTAAAATGATAGAAGTTAAACTGTCAGAACCAACCAATGGCCACAAAGCCACTAATATTTGGTGCTTTAAAGAAAGCTCATCCACGGAGGTAAGGAAATCAAAGGTGCAGAGTTTAAGTAACTTTTTAAAAGGGCAAACCAGGTAAATCATGGTATTAGAATTCAAAGCTGAGCCTACTTCATTGCAAAGCTGCAACTCCAGGGCTTACATCATGCCTTTGACAATTACTATGACATCATTGTCAGTTTCCTGTGTGAATATTCCATTGTGTTAAGTGGTCATTTATGAAACCGTTTCTTTCCTGTGAGAAGCTGTGCTTGGGTCCTGGTACTTACAAATCAAAGCTAAATAAACCTTTTTGTATTTATAGTGCAAAGGGGTAAAAACACATGAAACAATTTTGGAAAATGTTTTAAAGCCCTGAGATTTGTCCGAGCTCCTTCCGCTGGTACTTCTTGGTAGAGACATTTACACAGAATTTCACTGTGCTATTAGTGGCCGTGGGCAATCTAGTCCCAAAGGAAGATAAAAAGAACAATAGGCAGCCTGGGAGGGCTGCCCAGAGCTCCTCTTGTAGCCAACAAGAAAATTCTGCCTAGGTTAAGTGTGGCACATGGCTTTCTATGACATTCATATACCACCTGGCTTTCTGCCTCCCTAAGTGAAGCAGGAAAAAAGATTTTAAAAAAATCAAAAAGGAAGTAGGAAGTACCTTTCTCCATCTCAAACCAGGATTGGTGTCCTCACAGTTCCCAGACACTGGGAAATGGGAACAGTAGACTAAGAAATGAAGTGCACTACCAGGCTATGGTCATTTCTTATTTTTCTTACTAAATTCTCAGTGCCCACCCAGCATCAAGCTAAGCTGCATAGTTGAAGGGATGGTGTCAGTTTTTAGAACTTTACGGAATGCAAATGGTACACATTGAATGGCAGATTGACAGATTCAACTGGATGCAAGAATGAAATCGCAATTGGTTCCTTACTATAGTTTGAATCATACTGACTACCCAGATCCATTTAGAAGTCATGATTGAAGAGGCTCACCATGGAGCTCAGCAGATGAGCCCGAGCTAGACCTACATAAAGTTAGAAGGGGCGAACTGACTCCATAAAGATGTCTGCCAACCACAAGTATGTATATATGCACGGGGGGTGGGGGGAGAGAGAGAGAGGGAGGGAGGGAGAGAGAGAGAGAGAGAGAGAGAGAGAGAGAGAGAGAGAGAGAGAGACACACAAGTAGGATGAAAAATAAAGGGAGCCATGGCTCCAGAACAATCCATGTGCCTTGACTTCCTCTAAAGCCATGTTAGGCTACAGACTTATGTAAGACTTGCGGATAACAGTGTGAGCAGTGGACAGTTGTTTCCTGGCACTTGTTTCCTTGTTTCAGACTTTGACTTCCTTTTAACCTCTAGAGTATCCTTTTAAAAGTGATCAATGATTGGAAACCAGCACTATGTCAAAGCTTAACCAAGTCTGAAAATGTTCACCTTATCCATCAACAATTTCACTTAATACCCATTGGTGTAGGTCAAATGTCTGGTACCGGATTTGGCAGTGCTGCATTCCAGAGTTGTGCGAGAGTACATGGCTGCTGTTTTAAGCCATTTTGTTTGTAGCCATTTGTTGTAGGGATGCTAAGAAATAAAACACTCCTATGGTTGCCTCTTTTCTCTAACAGTAAGTGACAGTTTCCTGAGCTGTACCTATTGCCTCTCAAATGTCGTTCTATCCTTGCTGCTTGATGACAGTCTTATCTTGTGCATTAGCAGCTAAGTTTGGAAAGGCATGAGACACATGTTCAAAATAGCCCCAAATGGAAAACATATCTAAATGTCTAACCATGGGAAAAGTGGTAGATAGCTGGCCACATAGTGCAGTTCTGACAAACAATTCAAGCCACTGAGGGTGGGAGAAGGTGGGGTTGAGACGATTAGGTTGGTAAAGGCACTAGTAATAAAAACCTGATGACATGTGTTTAAATCCCTGGGACTCACATGGTGGAAGACAGAAACAATGTCTATAAGAGTTGTCCTGACCTTCAAATGCATACACAGAGACACAACACACACACACCACTAAATACAATTATATATATATGTAACAAATTTACTGGTGTTTTGAGAAATCCGTAGAGCTCTTTTTGCTGGCACAGTAGCTGAGGCAGTGCTTGCAACCAGGGGACAGAGACCAAAAGACCAAAACATGTCCTGCAATGTAAATGACAGATGGCAGGTAGAGCTAGTTTCTCTGTCATAAATTTGGAATTAAAGATAAGTTAGCAAATACGACTTTAGTAAAGGTTACCATGTATCAGTATGTCAACAATCACCACCAAATGTGTCTCAGTAATTGTAGTCCTTAAAGAAGAATCTAAGAGTTCGAACATATGCCCTGCAAGTGGACAGGACCCTTGTAAGGACAAAATTTACAGATGAAGCCCCAAGGTAGCATTATCCCCGAGCCAAACACAAAATCCAATGGACATGAACTTGATTCGAATTAATCATGCTGGCAATATATCAACCCCCTTGCCAGTCAGTTCAATTTCTGTTGCTGTGATTAAAAAGACAACATAAGGGGAAAGGATTTTTAATTGACTCACAATTCTAGGATACAGTCCATCATCCTGGGAAAGTGGAGGGGCCAGGGACTTCAAGAAGCTAGTCATATCCATAGTCAAGAACAGAGAGAATGAATGCATGTGTGCTGATACTCAGTTCACTTTCCTTTCATTCAACCTAGGACCCAAGCCAATGGATGGTGCCACCTACTTTCACACCGGCTCTTCAAACACGAATTAATGTTACCAAGAAAATCCCCAAAAATATGCCCACACAGAAACCTCACCTAGATAGTCTCTCATAGGTTTCTCTTCTCAGATGATTCTAGGTTGTGTCAAGTTGACAAATAAAATTAAAATTAACCATCTCAGTGAGCAACTTCTAACAAGAGCAGACTACAGTAAAAAGAATGAAGCTGGTCTAGCCCCACTCAGTTGTCTCTTGCTCACTTCTACATGTGGCTAGTCCCTTCTTCTCCTTTATTGTGAACAGCAGCCAGTATGCCCAGCGTGCAGTTGTTTGGATCTCTCAGGCTCACTAAATAAGCCCCTTTACTTTATAAGCCACTCATCACAGATCCTTTAGTTACAGTAACACAAAACTGACTATAAAACAAATACAAAGTGAGGCTTGTGGACCCAACCTAGCCTGCTATGTATGTGGGTACTGCTTACGAGCTATGAAGTTTCTTTTGCATGTTTAAGTGGTGGTGGTGGGGGAATGCGAATAATATTTCATGGCATGTAGAAATAGAAATTCACAAATGTCTGAATACATTTTAATTTGGATTTGTTTTATGGTTTTGCACATGCATGCTTTACATATTGCGCAGTCTCACCTCCCACCTACCCTACCACTCCTGTCCACATGTGCCACTTATAAAGTGTCCTCTATTTCTGGTTTTGAGACACACAGTTGGGTAGCTGCAATAGAAACTGATCATTTATAGAAGAAAAGGCTGATTCTTCTATCCATATAAAGTAAATCATGTCTTGAATAGTGAATGGAATTCTTCATATCACATTTTTAATGAAACACTGAATGACTGTGTTCTTTACAGACTCTGGAAACCATTCCTGAAGATAATGGATTAATATTCAAGGAGATTTTAGGACATAAATTTATGTTTATACAGGTTATTTTACTATTTTATTTTTCAAATCCATGGGAATCCTGAGTGCTGTTTTGAAACAATAGCTTCAAGTTCTCATTGTCATGAGGCAGATGTTATTGTCTCCCCAAATTCCTATTTGCCCACGAGTCTGGAACAGAGCCTCACTGTAGAAAGGTTTTTGCAGATGCGACTAATGTAAAGATACTGAGATGAGATCATTTTGAATAAGCTTGGCCCTAAATCCAATGATACATCCTTGTGAAGGATAGAAGTGGAGACACAAAACTGGAGGAGAAGCCATGGCATAGAGGACATAGGCAGAGCCTAAAGGAATGTAGCTAGAATGGATGGCCTGAAGGCCTCAGTTGCTGGGCAAGGCAGGGATGATCCTCCCCTAGGAAAGGTCTTAGAGGAAGCTGTATCAAATTATGGTGAATTGAACGGAGACATCCAAAAATATATGCCATGTCCTGACCCTCAAAACTGATTAATACCACTTGGAAGTAGCATAATTACAGATGTAATTAGTGAAGGATCATGGGATGAGATCATCCTGAATCAGGATGGCCTTCAATTCAGTGACAGTGGGACACATACAGAGAAGTGTCTTGAAGACAAAGACTGAAACAATGAGGCCACTGACCAAGAGAAGTCTGAATACCTGGGGAGTTGGAAGAGGCAGGAAGGATTCTCCCCTACAGCAAAGCATGACACTGACATACCTTGACCACAAACACCTGGTCTGCAAACTAAAGAATAATTTCCTGCTCTGTAAATCTGCCCAGCTCATGGTAATTTGTGATGGTGCCCCTAACCAACCTTCTCTAATGTGTCAAAGAGGCTAAGAACATCTGTCTGTTCTTCAGCTTCTCCTGGAAACTTATAGAGCCTCCACTAATGGGAATTTTGCTAAGATAATAAGCAATATTAATGCTGTTCTCCTTATAAAACCAGATAGAGCATTGATTTTAATTAAACCTTGGGTGGGGGGCACTGTGAATTTACATGCAGTTAGGAGCAGCAATGCAGATGCCCTACGGCCCCTTTACCCAGTCTTACAATGGAAACCACTTATAAAGTACACAATATTACAACTGGTGTCCTCATCTTGATCCAAGGCACTGAAGTAATTTGGATGGTCTTCTCTTAACTTGTTCTCATTCAGGTGGTGCGTGCCTGTGTGCATGCGTTGTGTGTCTGTGTGTGTGTGTGTGTGTGTATGTGTATTTAGCTCTATCCACCACCTTACAAAACTCTATCATGACAAGGATAATGGTATTTGACTGCCTTCGAAAACACTCATTGCCTGTGTTGATACATATGATGGGTTCAAGGACAAATCTGAAATAGACAAGGTGAGCGCACATATTTACATGATCTTTGACGAGGAAAGCTGATGTTTCTGGATAGTCTAATGAAGGCAACAGGTGAGGAAACTGTGAGGAGCACAGCAGGTTTCTAGGGCAGGACACACCTCGCCTACCTTGTCCTTTTTATCTTGCCGGGCGTAGGGGAAGCAGGGTATCACAGCTGTTACCCTGGATGAGGATGCAATCTTGCAGGCGTTGATCATGATGAGTAGTTCCATCAGGTTGTCATTAATTTCCCCACAGCCGCTCTGGATGATATAGACATCTTCCCCTCTCACACTTTCACCAATCTCGACGCTACAAAAGAACAATGCCATCTGTCTCAGTATTCTTGGCCTGTTGCTATTTAAAGTACTCTAAGAAAAGTGACTTTATTTTGGCTCACAGTTCTAGGTGAAATTCATCGTGGCTAGGAACTTAAGATAGAAGGGCCTTGAAGAAGCTGCCCACACTCCACTCTTAATTCAAAGCAGAGTGATAGATGCAGGCTACTTCTCAGCTCTCTTTCCCACTTATGTGTTCAGAGCCGAGATAGAAAATAGTACTACACACTTGGGTGGACCTTTCCATTTCAGTTAACACAATTAAGACACCTCCCCCACCCTATAAGATGGCCCAGAAACTCATCTTTCAGGAAATCCCAGATTTTGTCATGTTGATAATTAGCAATTAGCCACCACAGCATTGGTTAATATCATAGCCTCTGAGACTCCCCGAGACCACCTCCAACTTCAGCAATCTAGCAGCAGGTCCAATCATGGGACTCTGACTGTGACTTATGAGGTAGCATGGACACCGAGCAAAATCAGCAAAGGGAAAAGTATATGGGGGAATCCAGGTGTGACCTTCCAAGCATTCTTCCCCAGGGGTGTCACAAAAGTCCAGCTCAAAGTGTCCAGTAATGAGCTGTGACAACTGGGAAGTGTTATCTACTAGGGTAGCCTTACAGACTGGAAGCTGGTCATGTAGTCACCCACTGGCTAGTGCATTCCAAAATGCTAGCTTCGCACCAGGCAGGCGGGAGCTCAGTGTAAATCACATTGTTTCCTAGCTGTTAATAGTTTACACACAACAAGCCATTCTTACCAAAGAATGGTGTGGGAATCCTTGTAGCTGAGTTCCCCTAGGCCAGCCAAGAGCTGACCTTTCAAGGACCATTCTAAGTTCCAGGCCTTCTCTGATAATTTCTTATGGCAATTTTTCTATTATTAAAGTTAAGACTGTCTTAAAAATTCAAATCACAGGAGCTGGAGAGATGGCTCAGTTGATAATGTGACTACCAACACAAACATATAGGAGCTCGGTTTAGCTCCCCAGAATCAACATTTAAAAATTCCAGGCACAATGGCACACGTATCTATAACCCTAGCACTGGGGAGTGGAGACAGCAGATTCTTAGAGCTCATTGGCAGGCCGGCCAGCCACCTGAATGAATGAGCTCCAGGTTCATTGAGAGTCCTTGTTTCAAAAAGTAAAGCAGAGGGAGATGGAGGAAGATGGCCTCTACATGTACATGACCACAGAAACATGTACATATCACACACACACACACACACACACACACACACACACAATCAAATCATGACTAAAGTATGGTAGTTCAGCCTATAGGAGGCTGAGAGAAGTGCTTACCTGTGAGTTCGAGACCAGCAGAGAGAGAGAGAGAGAGAGAGAGAGAGAGAGAGAGAGAGAGAGAGAACGCGAGACCAACCCCGAGACTTATTCTGTAAGGCTTATAACAGTTAAACAGCCTGGAGACAAGCAATTTCAATCTTTGATGGCTTTTTCAATAGAGATTTATGTACAAGTCTCCAGCTAACATTCAAGGCTCGAATCTTAATTTTTCATGAGGCATCAGGTATCGACTCCTATAAGATGAGGATTTAACACCTCTTCCTCTTCTCCGTCACATAGATGAACACTTCCCGCTTCGCCATCATGTCAATACACATCAGTATTCAAGCTAAAGACTGACGGCTCCATTTGAATTCTGTGAATGATGATCAGAGCTAAATCAACATTCATATTTTTCTTTCACACGTGAGTTTTGATCTGTGTGTGTATGTGTGTCTTTTACCTTAGCCTTTTCTCTGCTGAACTTCATATTCACTACACATCCAGATTCCACCCCACACAGCCCAGTCACAATTTCAAACTTAGTGTCAGGTTTCAAGTCCATCTCCACATCCTACCCAAAGCAGGAAGACAGGAATGGCCCAGTTGCCATAGAAACTCTACCTCTTTGCTGCACACCAGTTTTCACTTTCTGTATTTTGTGTGTGTGTGTGTGTGTGTGTGTGTGTGTGTGTGCTATTCTTCCTTGCTTTGCTGGTTGTCATCCTGTAGCTCCTGGAGAAAATAGTAGTGCCAATGTTTTAAAAATCACATGTCTAAAAGTTTCTGGGGTATTCAGCATGAGAGGAATCAGCACATCCATGTTAGTTAGCTGCCACACAGAGAAGGAAACCATCATGCATCTGGTACATCCTTCACAGAGTACCGCAGCACAAAGAGTCACATCAGCTCTGGTGGAGCTCTTTTTTTAAAAAGGCAATCCTGATCCAATAGTTGGAACAATTTGATATACTTCAAACACTATGAACATCATGTGAATTGTGCTTCTGTGTGAGTTCTTTTTTAAAAGACTTGAATCTGTTCATATTCTTTTTTAAAAATGATTTACTTATTTATCTTATCTATGGGAGTACACTGAGGCAGTCTTCAGACACTCCAGAATGGTTGTGAGCCACACCCTCTGTTGCTGCGAATTGAAACCAGAACCTCTGGAAGAACAGTCAGTGCTCTTAACCACTGAGCCATCTCTCTAGGTCTGTGTAATTTCTTATATTGAAATACAATGCAGAAAATTGTGCAAGTAGCTCAATGGTAGAGTATTTGCATAAACACATATGAAATCCTGGGGTTCCATCCCCTGTACTGAAAAAAAAATGAATACAGAAAACTTCACTGTGTCCACTTAAAATACAGCCACTTAAAAGTACGCCATCAGAATCTGGTATGGTGGCACACATTTACAGTCAAAGCCAAGACGACTTGGAACTCCTCTTCCTCCTGCATCCATCTAAGTGCTAGGATTACAGGCTTGAGACACTATGCTGGGTCCCGAAAACTAGTTTTGCTATTTGCTCACACTCCTGCATACAGTTCTCTGCTACGGATGCTACAGTACACAGAAAGAAATGGAAATGCATCTCCTTATTGTGAGTGCTAAAGAGTGAACACAATTCTTGGGCTAATGAGGTGACTTAGTAGATAAAAGCAGATGCTCGGGGCTGGAGAGATGGCTCAGCGGTTAAAGGCACCGACTGCTCTTCCAGAGGTCCTGAGTTCAATTCTCAACAACCTCGTGGTGGTTCACAATCATCTGTAGTGGGATCAGATGTCCTCTTCTGGTCTGTCTGAAGAGAGCAACAGTATACTCATATACATAAAATAAATAAATCTAAAAAAATAATTTTTTTAAAAAAGCAGATGCTTCACAAGCCTAACAAAGTATGTCCAGTCCCTGGAGCCCACATAGAAAGCTGGATGTAGTGGCATGAATCTGTAACCCTAGAACTCTTATGGAGAGATGAGAGGCTTGGCCAGGAGAAACATCGGGAAGCTTTGGAGCCGGAGAGCATGGCGTACACAGAATGGCAGAAACAAGAGCTATCCTTCTTCAAGTGCAAGAAAAGACCTAACTTCTCAGAGTTCTCCTCACACATCCACATATGTGCACACATTCATGTGCACATACATGCACACAAATAATTTGAAATTTAACAAAATTCCATTATGCATAGGGCTGACTTAATTTGGAAAGCAAGTATTACATAGCTCAGGGGCTGACAAAATACAGTGCTCAACCTGTTTTTGTGTACTCTCCCCCCCACACACAAACAATGGTTGGTAGCCTCAGTAATGAATAACCTCCAAAGACATTTATATCCCATTCCTTTTAATATGTTAGATTATATAGCAAAAGGGGTGTCTATATCCTGGTGGAGTGGAGCATGCTAATCAGGTGATCTTAAAACAGAAAGGTCATACATAACTATTTACATTTAACTTTGTGTGATCATGGCTAGCTGTCAGTATGCAAGAGGAAGACTAGAAGAGTAGAGAGACATGTGATGACTAACGCCAGTCAGAGAGATCCTCTATTGATGAAGGTCCCGATATCCCAGGGCTGTGGGGTCCCCTCAAAGCTGAAAAGGGGGACTGGGACTATTGTTTAGTTGGTAGGATGCTTGCCCCATATATACGAAGTTTGAGCCCCACCAGTAGGTAAAATCAGGTACGGTGACACACATCTTGTGATTTTAATACTTGGGAGGTGGACCCAGGAGAATCAGAAGTTCAAGGTCATCATCAACAGTACTGAGAGTTCAGGGCTAGCCTAGGCTGCATGAGACTGTCTGTCCGCAAGAGAAAAGAAAACTAAAATAGGTATGAAAATTGAGTTTCCCTTGAAGCTTCAGGAGGGAAGAAGGCAGCCCTGCTAATCTATGCAGGACTTGTAGCTTACAGACCTGTAAGACATAGCAGTAACAGAGATATGTAGCGCACAATGCCTAAAATATTTACAATCTGGCTCTTTACAGAAAGTTTCCCAAGTCTTGGTCTTATGACTGTTTATCCCCACAAGATCACATTCTTTGGCCTGCCTTTCCTCACTAAGGAACTGCAATCCTCCAAGGACTAGCAGTCCAGGGGAGCACAGGAAACACCATGGTAACATTTCTTCCAAAGCCAGTTCTGCTTCTACTTACTTACAAAGACCTCCACATCCCAATCTGTAGTGGAGGTCTCCAATGGGTTGGTTGTGTGAATTACCCCAAAGTCAAGAGACCCTCAAACAGGGCTGAAGCATATGACTGACTCAATCCTTAATGACTGTGACAATTATAACACTTCTTTCAACTGTGGAACAGGATCTAGGTCCTGTCCCCAGAAACTAAGTGCCTTCCTTAGACCTAACATTGTGTTTAGCCAAAACAATGTTACAAAAGTGATGATACTACACTAACTTCTAAGCAGGGGCCTTAAGAAACTGGTACTTAACTACTTCCTGTCTATTGAAACTCTCCCTTTTGGAACACAGCTCCTATGGCAGAAGGGAAACCAAGCAGGCCTGTGGAGTGATTCTTAAGTCAAAACAGCCTGGCAAAAGCTAACCAAACTTATCAGCCATGTGGGTGAGCTATCTTCAAAAACTGGTCCTGAGGCCCCAGTATCCACCCTAGCTGCCACCAATGGAGATAGAAACAAGTCTTTCTTGCTCTGATCTGCACAAACTTCAAGTCTGGGAACCAAATAAACACTGATTGCTTTTAAGCCCCTGAGTTCTTGGTGTTTTTTTTAAAATGGCAGTAACCTGCACATTGGGTCCCAGGATACAGGTTAAGGACCCTGAGAGCAGTAAATTAACCAGGGTAAAATACAAGAGACCTGGGATCCCACCACGAACGCTGTCCTCCAAATCATGGAGCATTTGCTGGGGTTGGGAGAGAAGCTGGAATGCACTTCTCCCTGCACAATGGAAATAACTCACAGATGAAAAGGTAAAAGCAGAAGAATGCCTGTCTGATTAAGTAGCATTGAAGAAAACTAGGTACTGAGGTGCCGAGGGCCAGGGCACAACATTCAGACTTCTGCTCCTCACTCAACAAGAGGCACTGAAGAAAGAGTACCTTACATAAATGAATCCAGTTTCTTTTTCTTTTGCCTTTTGCTTTCTCATTTCTACAGCCAAACAGGAATACCCAATTTGAGGACTGTGAGGGAAAAAAAAAATCAACCACCACCTCTGTGTAGTTTGTGAGAAAAGTTAGCACATTAACCTTTTAAATTTTTCTGTAGGATAGAACATAAAATGTAGCAAGGAGTAGCAAAGTGACTTGGGACTCTGTGATCCATGCATGGGAGGTGAGGGCAGGAGGATCATGAAATCAAGGACAGACTTAGTGACACAGTGAACTCCAGACCAGCCTAGACCTCATGAGAGCCTGACTCAAAGAAAGGGAAAGCAAATCCACAACTATAACAGACAGAACAAAACACAATCTCAACCTATTCAACAGACAGTGGATCTGAAAGGGGTATTCGAAATCTTAGGATTTCTAATGATCAAATGCGGTGAAAAGCTAACCCAAACTAAAGACAAGACTTCTTTCTGTTGAAATAAATGTACGAACAATCACACTTGAACATCTGAGTGAATTTCCCCTATCTGCTGATACAGGACTTGTACTAGTAATCCATTACTCAGCCAGCTACAGATCATCTAGATTAGCCATGCCTTGCAGCATTGTGCTGCACCGAGATTACAAGGAATGGTTGCTTCACTTACACTTTCAAAACCCACTCCTTCCAGAGCTGGCTCCTTTAGTACATGACAACACCTTTTAAACAAAGAGGCTTATTTTATTTGTTGTCCCCAGAACTGCTGAAACTTGGACTAGGACTAACAAAATCTTGCAACTTTCAAACCCTTTCAAATCCTTTTCCAAAGTCCTAGAGCACCCTCCACATATTAAAGGCTACAAAGGGAGCTGTGGATGGAGCTCAGTGGTTGAGTCTTCTTGCCTAGCATGAACAAGGACCTGGAATCCATCCTCTGTACTAGAAAAAAAAAAGTGCAATGTGAACTTAAAAAAAAAAAAGACAGACATGGGCTCATACGTAGCCAAAAAACCCATGTGTAGCCAAAGATGCTCTTGAATTCCTGCTTCTCTGGCTTCTTCTACCCAAGGGCTGAGATTCTAGTGTGTGCCAGCACATCCTGTTCTGATACTGCCCAGGGCATTAAATCTAGGGCTTCATGCAAAGTCCTGCAAGTAACTCTACCAACTGAGCTATATTCTTCAACCCCAAACTGGCATTCTTTTTTGTTGTTGTTGTTTTTAACTTACGAGAATGAAATTTTCACTGTTCTTAATTCAATTTCATTGTACATTTCATTGCTGTTCTCTTATTGCTGACTCCAGGAAGTTTGGATTGTTTCTTTTTCTCCCCATTTATTTATTTGTGGGGGGGGGCTGGGGGGGACTGCAATTGGGATGTAAAGTCAGTAAGTAAACAAAGTGGCAGTTCTTTAGCCAGAATTGTCCACAGTGTTTCTTCTATTATCACCCAAGCTGTGTAAATGGAGTTTACCACCTAAAAAAGGTCACACGGGATTCACATAGCCTCTAGAAAAATCATCTTTGTCATCAATATTGACCTAACTCTTAGCTGAGTCTAGTGACACACACACACCTGTAATTCTAATACCTGGGAGGTAGAGGCAGGAGGACTCCTGTGATTTTGAAGCCTGCCTGGGCTACATGGTGAGTTCAATACCAGCCTATATACATAGCAAAATTCTGTCCCAGAAAACGAAAACCAAGCCAAAATAAAACAAAAAGGGAAAACAAAGGCCCTTATCTTCACAGATTCTCAACTGATTCAATCACCAAGATATTTTGCTTACTTCTGGAAATTTCAGTTTTAGCTTTGACATTTTTGTCTACAATCCATTTCTAGTTAACTTTTGCAAATACGGAGAGTTGTCCGTACTTTTTTTTTTTCCTGTAAAACTTGCTAAATGAATTCAAACGCTACTAAATGTAGAACGGTTATCTGTCACTGTGCTAAATAGAAATAGGGGGGAAAATTGGCTTTGGGCAAGTGGGACAAGGAATTCCTAGTCCAACCAGAGGAGGGCTTCCGCCTGCCTGGTGGCACTGAATACTAGTGACTACTTTTTGCTAATGTGAGAGAAATGGGTGGAATTTTTAGCCAAATTAGGGTCTTGTTGCTGTGCGCAGCTAAGCTCCATAAACACAAAGCACTTATTAGTTCGCAAAAATAGATGCGGAAAAGTGTAAAGGAAGGCCAGGAGCGCTCAACACGTGCGTCCCGCTTTCCCACGCTCTTTACAACTCCCGCACAAACCCACTCTTCTGGATAAGGCAGCGTTTAACCGGCCCGCTGCTCTGAAGAGTCACCTGAGCAGCTGGTAGTACTCTGATCGCCAGCGGCTGGAAGTAGCATTCGAAAGTTCCCCGGGGTAAACCCAGTGCCCGGGACCTGTGAAAAGCCTTTTCAACCATGCAGGAGTCTGAGTTTCAGCCTGGCAGAGACTTGGAAACTGGGGCGGGCGGATCCACCGATGTCTCCCCGCCCCCACCATTCCCGGCACCGATGTGATGCCCACAGACTGCGCCCACTCTGCCAGACGCTCAGTAACTGCCCCGATATCGCCCTTCCGGACTGAAGACACCAGGTTAGGCGGTGCAAAAGAGGGGCCTGGGGTGTCCAAGGATCGACAGGTCACCAAAGTCCGGGTGCTGGAGACCCAGCCACTAGAGGGACAACAGCCCGAGGACGCGCGCAGAGACTCCAGGGTGACCGGGTTGGGGGTGGGGGGGTTCCCTTGCTGAACTTCTTTCTCCCCGGGCGCAGCCGCCGTGGCTCTGCAGCCGCGTTGTCGCCGTCCCGCCCCGGAAGGGAGAGCACGACGCCCGCGAAGCTGGCCTGGGCATGCTTCGGCCCCTGCCGCAGCCCCAGTGAGACTCTCACCTGGTCTCCTGGTTGCTAAACTTCTTGGTGACCACCTTGCCTAGCTCCAGGCCCAGGCGATCGGCCACGCGTTGCGACAGGTCCTGGTGAGAACTGCCGCTGAAGAGCACGATGTTGGGCATGGTGACGCACCGGGAGTGGGGAGCGCGCTGGAGAAGAAGAAAGCGACCGCGACGCAGACTGCTGCTACTGTCGCTGCCGCTGTCTCTGCTGCTGCTGCTGCTGCTGCTGCTGCTGCTGCTGCTGCTGCTGCTGCGGTGGCCCCGGCTGCTGGGGAAGCGGGAAAACGCGGCAGCGGGATCTAGGGGAGGGGAAGGTTGGGGGAGGAGCCAGAGGGAGGAGGAGCAGCCGAAGAGTCGCTGGAGGGTGCTGGGAGGCTGCTTCTGCCCACGCAGGCTGGCCAGCTGGGTTTGAAGCTCTGGGTGGTCCTGAAGCACCCAGGTACAATTGCTCCGTAGGAGAGCTGGATGTTCCACATAGGATTTCCTGGCTTGCCTTTAAGAGAGGAGGTCAACCAACCAGATAAAGTGGGCACAGAGAGCCGTTGCTGGAAGGGGCCATGTGGTGCCTCACAGCCAAAGAGCCGCCTTTCAACCCGGAAGCTCAGGACCCTGAGATGATACTTGGGCTTCAAGTGCACCCTGTGTCTACGCAGGCCAGACCCACACAGCAGCCTCTGTTTGCACACGAGAGTGAAGCATGTTTGCACTTGAAGTGATGACATATACTACTTTTGAAGATGGACTAAGAAAAGGGCTTTCTCACTAACGTGAATCTTTTTCTCTCATTTAATTTAGATGTATATTTTAAAACATGAGCTCAAATATTTTGTATTCCATTTTTTCAACAAAACCTGAAAACCCGGTTTTATTATATAAATGCCTATATAATGTCTTGTCTTTTGCTTCTTGGTCCACGAAGCCTGAAAATGTTACCGTCTAGTTCCTAAATCTGTGTTGCTCTGTAAAGGAGCCATTGATGAGAGCCACCATTTGAGCCCTAAGCTCAGGTGCCAGAGGTAAGCTTGTTTTCAATGGTCAGTTGACTCTAACCAATTAGTTCCGAGTCCTCATTTTTATGTAGATAGGCTGGCTCTCAGGCTTTCTTCACAACTTCCTGTCCCTTGGATTCTCTAGAGCCAGACTCCCCTAGGAGTCCTCTGCTTTCCCTGTCCCCAACCCCCACCTTAGCATTTCTGAAGTAGCTAATGCTGTATCAGCCAATCACACAGAAGGAAAGGAGATTCATCCTGAGCTCCTGGAGGAGTAGGGCGCTAGTGATCCTGATTTACATTTTTAAAAAGCTTTCAGAGACAGATTTACCTTGCCAGATAATTGGTTGGGCTCTACCAATGTCCGCTGAAAATTGGCTTGCCATCCACAACCAAGACTACTTGCCGCTGGGAGAGTATCTAGATTGTACACATCTTTGGGGGTTTTGCTTCTTGGTCCTTCTTTGAACTTTGCAAAGTTGTCAGCCTTTAATCTCTGCACTCTGGAGGCAGACGCAGGTGGATCTCTGAGTTCAAGGCCAGCTGGTCTAGTGAAACTGTGTCTCTCAAACCGCCTTAAGCCCCCTCAAACCCAAGCAAATTGGATTTATTAAAGGGTTTCCTTTGAAACTCCAGTGACCTGCTTACCAAAAAGTTCTCCAAAGCACCACTCCCATTGCATTTCTGCCACTTTTCATTCTGCTTACAGAAATGTATATATCCTAATTGTATTTTTTAAAAGAGCCAAGGTGACTATATAAGTAATCTCATCAATTGGGAGGTTAAGGCTTGGAGACCAAGAATCCCAGGCCAGCCTATGCTGTATTGTGAGACTTTGTCTCAAAAACAGTCGCAGCAACAACAATCTACCTACAGTGGGTTTTAAGCTACACTCAATATATGCTGCATAAAGATTCAGATAGCAGACCACACTATTAAGATTTTAATGCTTAATGATGTTCCAGCTCTCTTGGTTCATTTATGTACACTCTACAATGTTTACATGATCATGTATTAACCTTATGACATATTTCTCAAAAGATTCCATATGTTCAGTGGCAAATAACTGTATTTTATTATAAAATTTGCATAATAAATTATCACAGAGATGAGATTTATACTCATCCAAACACATGTTTAAAATTTTATTGACTGAATTATATTAATTATACTTAAACTCACCTAATAAACTTTATTGTCGGCAATTTTACTGTAATTTTTTCTGTCTTTAGATATTTGTCTCATAGGCAAAATTTGCCAATTATGGCATTTCTCTAAATCTATACATACTTTTGTCAGGGGGAAAGTAGTTTCTGATCAGTGTGGGAGCCTAGAATTCTTAGATAACAAAATTGATAGAGCATAAAATAATAGGTTAAAGTTTCCAATCTGAGGTTAATTCATAGTTGAAATTCTAGAAGCTAAGATTAAATTGTGACCTTGATAGTAGCAGGAGGTGAAATATCCATGTTGTCATGACAAGGACTATGGTTATTGAGGAACTGTGCTTGAGTGCTGAGTGTACAAGGGGCAAATTGCCCTTACAATTGATGGAGCTACTAATGGGAGTCAACAAAAACCATCCTATGTAACAGGCTAAGCACAAAGCCAACACTGACAAATAAATATACAAGCTTAAGAGAGCAGCTATAGATTTTGTGTGAACAGTTTCTCTCCAAAGCACCTTTGTCCTTGATCCACAGGGGACAAATTGTGGAAAAACCTTGACCTACAAACTGTCTTCAACTGACAGCCAGATTTGATCTACAACTGTCGTTCAACTGACAGACTGGGTAATTCTTTGTTGTGGGGCTCTCCTGTATGTGAAGGATGCTTAGAAGCATTCCTGGTCTCAACCCACAAGAAACTGGTAGTCATTCTTTAAGTGTTCTGAGAACTAAAAGTGCCTCCAAGCACATTTAAGTATCTCCTCCTCAAGGCAAAATGACCGCAGGTATAGATGCAGTTGGCTGAGTGAACTTCTGTCCCTTTCCTCCTCCAACCTCTTCCTACCTTTCCTGGTAGCCTTTCAGGATTCCTGACAATGTAGCTACAGAATTGCAAGAAGGGGTCTTCCAAAAAGACAGACGTCAATGATAAATGAGTAAATGAGAATGCATGTAATGAGATCCATCTGCGAATAAATTAATTAAAAATAAGATAAGCTTTGTGAGCAAACACTTACTAGCACTCTGCTTTATCTTGCCTGCTAATATCCTGCTGCCTAAAGCAAGTCACATGTTCAAGATCAGAGTCAGTGCAGCGTGAATAAACCAAAGAATTGCATATTAAGTCCACCAACGTTCTGCCACAGGAAAATCCCTTTCTGGGTGGGATGAGGGGCTCCCAGAAAACAGCCTCTGCTCACTGTTTAAATTCAGAAGAATGAAAGACCCCCATATACTCTGTGTACATAGGTTTTCATTCCTTGCCCATATTGCACAATGTTCATTATTTTAAGATTAAAATATTTGTGGCAAAAGTAAAATGATGAGAATTTCCATTGTTAATATGTGACTTCACTTATGAATGGAGAGGAACAAACTCGGGGAACAGGTTTTATATCTTGTATGTTCTTTGTCATTTTTTTCTGATTTTTTTCATACAGTGAGGTTTCTGTATGTTTGCTGAATGAGCTTATTTCTCAACTAGAATTAGTGTGTGGAATAACTCAAAGCTGCATAGCTTTTCAAAAGTAGCAAAGGAATCAGACTATGAGGGTTCTAACACAATCTTTTTCGATTTTGAACAGTGCTGGTCCAAGTGCATATCCTACAAACTTCTTATATACCTACATTTTGAAACTAGCATGAAGAATCCAGTGTAGTCATTTTATTAATCCACATTATTTAATACAAAATATCCAAACTAGTATTACTCCAACATGTAATCAACATGAGAAGATTAATGAGATGTTCATTGTCTTGTTTCGGTAGTAAACCTTCAAACTCTGATGTACATTTTATACCTACAAAGTACACTTTGCAATCTGGAATGTGACTTTGCCACACCTGAAATGCTGGCCAGGATTGGTTAGTAACTGCTGACTTTCAACAATGAGTTTCAAGAGCACTCAAAGCCAAGGTCCCCTGACAAATCCATTTTCTTAGCAAATAATGCAGAGCTAACTATAAAACACTGAAGCTTATCAACAATTATTTCAAAAGAACCTAAGGTGTTGTCTCAAGGATGGCCCAGTGGGTAAGAGAGCTTGGTGAGTACCCTTGAAGACATAAGTTCAGATTCCCAATACCCTAAGTAAAGGCCAGGTAAAAACCTAATGTAGCTACATGTGTATTATCCTGTTCTGAGGGTTGAGTGAACAGAGACAAAAGTATTTCTGGGGCTTGTTGGTTGCAGGCCAAGCTCCATGTTCAGTTAGAGACCTTGTCTCAAGAGGAGAAAGAGGAAGGGAGGAGAGTGACAGAGCAGGATACTTTGTCCTCCTTTATCCACATACAAGCACAACATGTATGAGCATTTGCACACACACACTCCAGTGCACCCCCACATGTTCTAAAGTGGGTTCAACTTTGTTCCTGTATTAGTGACATTTTCATTTGTTATCAAGCTCTTTGCTGATTTTAATTTCTCCCTATTTACTTTTTTGCTTGCTACTTATAAAAATTCTTCCAAACGACTTTAAAAATACAGCCATCACATAGGTTTTGCAACAGTTAAAGTTGTTGCTATATTTCCTTCCATCTGCTTCAGATGTTCCCCTAATTCATCTGCTCTTTTGTTGTTATCTGTAAAAAGGTAAGAACATCAAACCATACACGCTTATCCAAAATTAGGTAAGATAATTCAATGGGAGAGGTAAAATTATAAAATTCATGGAAGAAAACCTGTACAAGTCTTCATGACTGTGGCTGAAGCAATGACTTCATTATAAGATATGAAAATTATAAGCAGTAGCCACTACGAAATTGTACAAAGTGGACATCAAAACTAAAATAAAGAACTTTTACTTCAGAAGACAGTATCAAGGGAGCAGAAGAGAACTGAAGGAGTGTTAGAAAATGTTTATAAATTCTATATCTCATGAGGAATTTGTTTCTACAATATGGTGTGAAAAAATGATCAGAATGCAATAAATAAAAGAGAACTCAGTTTGAAAGTGGGCAAAAGAGCATGCACGTGGATTGTTTTTTACAAAGGTTTTATTTTGTGTGTCTATTTTTTAAAACTCAGAAACATCTAAGATATCCTTTAGTAGTAAAAGGTTAAGTAAATTATGATATGCCCAGGTGATGTTATGGATAACAGAAAATAAATGCAATGAGATGGGCTTCATTCAGAGTGCTATGACTGGTAAAGACGAAAATAAAACATCAAACAATGAAAAGACATGGATGACAGGGCTGAGGAAGCCCCTCAGTTGGTGAAATGCTTGTCTGACAAACATGAAGCACTGAGTTCCATCCCAGGTATCACATAGGGCATGGTGAAGC